AATCATAGTATGAATGAAACATTTTCTTAGAACAATAAAACACCGAATACTGATTTTAAACCTTTTTCTGCATGCCCCCGAGACTTTTAAGCGTGTACCTAAGCCTTTTCTTGAGGATTGATTAGGCCGTCGTTCCTTGTCAGTAAAAATAAGTCATTCTGTGATCTTGTGTGATGAAAATTTACAAGAATTATAAAAAAGGAATTACATTTATCATTTTAAAACTATAACTTAATATTTAAAACACTAATCTATACAAATGCTTAAAAGGTCTGATCGAATTTTTAAGGTGGTAAGTAGTCAATAGTAAAACGTCCTGTAACATAGAGAAAATCTGAATCAGCAAAATAAAGCCGAAAACGTCAAAAAATTGAAAATTAATGCAGACTCGAGTTTGATTGCGCCTTTTGAAGCCGGTAGTGGTGATTTTGCCCAAGCTACGTCCACGGACGCTCAAAAGCCCTTATTCAACATTTTGTCATGAAAATAATTAACAAGCCGCAGATGTCTTTTATAACGGCGTTAAAAAACATTTTAAGCTAATTAATGAACACATTCTGTTTTTTTCTGAAAATCGGCGTAAAGTCCCCGGATATTGGCGTTTTTCCTCTTAAGAGAAAATAAAATTGCCAATCACTATATAAAATGGAATTTTTTTTAAATGGGGGATCAGAGGTAAAGAAGCCCATATCACGAACAAACCTCAAAAGACAAAATTAAAAAGTAAAGGCAACAATCCTAAAGAGAAATTTTAATAGTATTTTTAAGTAGGAAATTCTGGAATGCCGCCCAATAAAAATATATATCAAACAACGAGAACTAAAATTACCATAAAAAACCCAACATTAATGTCGTGCAGCCGATTTTTCCCAGGATCCCGGAAATATAAACTTGGTTAGTGAACGTTGGGACCATTTTACGGATCCCACAACGACACCAACTATTGGTGTGACAATAAATATGGAAAAAAAAAACCGAAATCGCCCAAAGTGATAAATTGAAAATATTCAAGGCTCGTTTGATGGAGCCTGTTTAAAAAGACAGTAGGTGGTAATTTCAAATTTACCGTCTACGACCCGTTGCATCGTCAAGAATATTCAAACATTGGCCCTTTGGGATAAAAAATAATTATTTTGGTAATAATAAAAACCGAAACCTATGACAAAACCATGCTTTGTTTGATAGAAAGAAATTTAACACATACAATTATTTGTGCAAAGAAAAGCATACCTGATTTTGAAAGTACAAATCCATTTTTTTAATCGCTATTTCTTCCGCGTCCCTAATGACATTTCAGCTTTCATTTAAGCCCACTCATTACTGTATTTTGAGAACACTTTGCAATTTAAAAACTGATTCAGTAAAACTACGGTAAATGAACACATTAAGACAATTATTTTTGGATCCGGGTTGTTCAAATTTCACCATATTAAAAAAACTCTGATATCGTAAAGTGATAAAAGGAATGGATATATTTACCTAAATATGGATAAATAAAAAAAAGCATAAGCAATAATTTTAAATATATTTGAGAGGTTAGTCCATGGTTAACTGCAGCCCCTAATCTATGCCATTAAAAACACTAAACCATGAAAGGTAATAAAAATCATTGCGTTTGAACAAGGGTTTTCTGGGTAAAATATGATGAAACAAGATTAACAAGGAAAAAGGCGGCGTTTTCAAATTCTTATTATTGAATATCAATACATATGATAAAATAACAATCAAAAACGTAATAGAACTGAGTATTCGAATATGATACGTGATTGGTCAAAAGGAGATAATAAACCTTTATACCTACTTTTTAAGGCACAACAAAAAAGCTTTCGAAGTCGGAATAAGGACCCATCATGTACCTTAAAAGAGTTAATTTTGAAAGTAATTTACCTACATACAATGTTTCCACTAGCCCAAAATATTTAAATTTTTGAGCCCAAAATTAATGTACAGTAATTGAGACAATAATTTAAAAGAAGGTAAAGCCCTTAAAAGGCTAGATTGGGCCCCCCTCTAGCAAAGGGCTGCTTACAAGACGTTTTCGTACTAGCGGGCTCACGCAACAATAGTACACCATCCTTTTCGAACGCCCTTACTTTGGTAGGGCCACCTCCCCTCGGCTTTTAGTCAGGAACCCAACGGAGTTTAACTTCATGCAAGCTAAGTCGTGGCGCCGCCTTAATACGTAATTCCGCAGCTGTAGAAAACATGAGTCACAACTTCACTAATAGACTACTTACTTCAAACACAATACATATATTGATATAATCTCTTTCATATTCCATAACTTGAAATCCATTTTTAAAATCATTTAACATAAATTGCATTCTTTAATTGTGGGTGTCAACCTCCTTATGAAAAGATCAGTTTCTGACATTTACATGAGGATACTAATTAAAGCCCTTTTCATATTAATTCATTATTTTCAATTGAGATCATCTGTTCTAGGAATAAGAACGTTTTTCAATATTTATAAGCTCAATTGCTGACTTCTAAATTTTCTGACGTTCACCACAAACAGAAAAATTTTTAAAAGCCTGTTATATTAATCAGTATCATATTGATGTGTGACTTAAATGTTTAATTACAATTATTACTGCACATAGCAAATTTTTACATCCTGATTACTTTTACACTATGGGAATAATATATGTTTGCGTTAATTATTTTATTTTCAAAAAAATGTCATTCCCGTTTTTCCTGTTGTGGAGAAATCCCTTCTTCCGGCTCAACGTTTTTGGTCCTGCAAGAAATAACCGAAGTAACCATATATTTCGGATAATCAATGATATATACTATCTTTAACGTTTTACCTATTATCCAATTTAAAACAATTAAAACGTTAGCCGTTTCTATAAATAATTAAATAGTAAATAATAATAAATTAATAATAAAATTATAATAAAACTAATAAATATAAAGACAATTTTCCATCGACAATAATTATTAAATTATACTCACAGAAATTTGGAAACATATATAATTTATTATAAATCACTAATAACAAATAATAAATAATTATTATTAATTATAATATAAGTAATTTCTTAGAAAACCCTCTGGCAAATAGGTGATCAATAAAACAATAACCCTCTGGCAGCGAAAGGGTAATACTTTATTGTTTAGGGCGCTAATAAGCCTGCCTGTTATTCACACACCCCCACCTTATTTTCCATAAAAATCTTAACTTCCGCTCCGCGTTCCCGGCTTATTTATATGTTTTTCGCGAACGTGTTAAACAGCGGAGGCGCGGAGCGAAAACACTCTTTTTAAGCAGAGGTGCGATACGAGTTTTACTGTAATGTATTAAAACGGCGGGGGCGCGGAGAGATACATGCTAATTAGCGGAACGCAAAGGACGAAAAGTCGAGATTTTAAACTAACTAAACCGGTGGCGTGATGTGCGAAAATTAGGCTTTTTCGGCTGGGCCGTGGGACAGATTTTAATAAAAATAAAACAATCGCCCTGCGTGGGCGTGGAGCGAAATTTTGAAACATACAACGGCGAACCCGAAGCAAATGCCAATATTGCCCCGCGGGGCGCGGAGCGAGATGTAAGAAATAAAATGACAGCGACACGGAAGCAAAAACACGCTTACTTAGCTTAGTTTAAAATGAATATAGTAAACGGGCGGGGGCCCTTCATTTTACTTGTTAATTTCTCGACTATTTGCTTGGCGGTCGTGGGCCGAGAGAAAAAATAATGAATATGGATACACTCCGAAAGAAAGACGGCACATTTATGCCGATAAGAAATTTGAAAAAAGTTTTTGGGGGAAAAGAATAACATACCACATTTGCTTCTTTTATTTTAAAGGATATATAGTATATTTAGAAATAAGAAATGTATAATATATATACCATTCCTTACCTAAACTTTGCTTTGTACAATAATTACAACATTTACTGTTTCCTAATACTGTATTCGTGTTCATTTTTAAGTAAAAACTTCCAAAAATTAAGGGATGACCGCGAACCAAAAATTATTTTAAAACTATTTTATTCAATGATATATGCTGTCAGTAATGTCCTTAAACTAAAATCTTGATATACAATAACAAGGAGAACAAAGGTCCATTTAACATTTTTAAAATGCCATAAATTATCTCAAAGGGGTTTCAAAATTTACAAACTACTACTTAAATTGGTTTGGCTTTGTATCATTATCATTAAGAGATACCAAATTAATTCAACTCAGTCAAGTGAGTTGTATTGTACGACAGAGAAAATATCAATTTAACGAAATTAATAAAGCTTGTTTTTATATTTAGTGGTTAAATTTCACACCTTGTATATATGAGTATTCGTATGATTGTGGTGCTTGCGCGTGACCACGTGTGGTATGGGGTCAAATAAAGTGTTTGCAAAAAGGCAATAATGCAAAAAATTATTTTTGTTTAAAAGTAACCCTTTTGGTTTGGAAAATGAAAGTTAATAAAATTTCTTTCAAAGACGGGTACAAACGGCCCGAATTTAAAAATTCCTGGGGAATTTTACCCCCCACTAAAAACCACCCTTTCCCCTTGGGCAGAAATTTTTGATATGGTTGTAAAAAACGTTGGGTGTTTGGGTTTTTTTAAAAACAGTTGAGTGGGGGAAACTGTAAAAGTATCTTTCAGGACTGTCTAAAAATAAGTGATTTGGGAAATTGGGAAAAAAATCAAGGGATGATAATTTGAAAAAGTATTTTAAAAACATAGTTTTTTCGGTTTTCCTAATTTTTAAAAAGGGGTAGCATAAAATGCAAAACAGTTAAAAAAGGGGTTTTTTTTGTTAGTTTAAAGGGGGTTTAAGTTATTTTCCCCCAAAAAAAGGGGGGGGAAAACATTTCAATCAATTTTATTTAAAATTTAAATTGGGGTGGTTTTTAGAGTTCCACCTTTAAATTTTTTATGGAAATTTATACCTATATTAATTTGTTCTAAAAAATCCCTTTTAAAAATTTCAACGTATTTTAAAAAGCCCAAATTTTTAAAAAAAACAACTTAAATTTAAAGCAGTTATCATGTGGCGGGAAAGGGTGGCTGAGGTAGTTGGCGGACAAAGGTTGTTAAGTTATAAACAACATAACCGTTGCAATTTTTTACTTGCAATCTATTCAGTCTATCACAGCAATCATCATTACCCCGTATACATATATCTACCTCCGTTGTTCCGTTGTAATAGCTTGGAATTAAACCTTAAAGTACACAGCATTTTAGCACATAAATAAATTGATGTATAAAATTGATGTATGACAAAGATTCCGAAACATAAAAGGTTTCTTAATATTCGTTTGATCCTTTTGAAAATATTATACTGTTTAGTGAAACTGTTAAGGGTTGAGGCGGGTGTTTATGTATTATTTTCGTAATTTCTGATGTACAAACCTAAGAATAACGAGCATACAATTTTTACCATAAAATATTTTTTATTGTTCTTACGTGGTCCTCGTTATACTATAAACTTTATCTTTTGGTCACATTCTTTATGAACTTAACTTTAAAGTCTAAAATGATTTATTACTTTGACATTGAGAAGATATTCTAGAAACCTTTGATGACACTGAATAACTTATTAGATTTAAGTTTCATTATATATTTGTCTTTTCTATGACACGTGATTTTAAATTTATACCTTGCATCCAGGCCTGTTGATCAGTTCCACATTCTCTACCAGACGGACATCTAGTTGCCATTAGACCTTCGTCAGACCCGGTAAATCTTGTCCATCCTGGATTAATTACGTCACAGATAGTGCTATCTGCAGGTTTAAGTACATGCCCCAATGTCATTGAGGTATCGTTTATCGATTGGTAGAAATAGCATGGGTCTTGCAGACTCCCTACTCTGTCTGTTTATTATAAAGACATGGACTTAATTGTTTTGCAACCATTATGAGTTTTACTGCATTACAAGTGATTCCGATTTCTGGATTGAATTGTAATTTGTCTTGGATAAATTGATATTTTTGTTGGTGTTTAGAAAATGTTCAATAATAATAATAATAATGATAATGATAATAATAATAATAATTATTATTATTATTATTATAATTATATTAATAATGATAAAACAAAAATAAAAAAAACATCTAGACCCCACTGTTTATACTAACAAATAAGTGCAGGTGTTAACTTCTTCATTTATTAGACCTCCATTATTGTGCCTTATATTTCTAGACGTAAGTAGTAATAATGGATCTACTGATGCCATACCACTTTCATTAAATTATTATATCAAAATATCTTTTCGTTTTTTTATTATGGTGAAAAAATACAATTTCATGCAGTTAGATCATCAAAATGTCAATGCGTTTTCCGTTCGAATCATCATCTTCAGTAAAGTAAAGCTTTCAATTCAATTTATTTTAAACATGTATTTCAAAAGATAAAGCACTTACTATTCACCAGTATCCAATCAACAATCATTGTGAACACTACGCCATTCAATCGAAGTACGCTCATTTCCGAAACAAACAATATTCAAGTCATAAGAAAATAAGATAGTGAAATGAGAGATGGTTGTTATAATTATTACTAATATATGAACATCATCATTAGCAACCAAACAGTTGATGAATTTCTAAATAAAAAAATATTGTCTTAAGTTGTGAAGTTTGTTGATTAGTAAAGTATTAAAGATCTATATTTGAAATAACACTATAAACAATCTTATAGACCATATATTTTTAATTCAAGATCATTCTAGAGATCGAAGAAGAAATAATTTTCCTTATCTTATAAATAATGTTTGATTTACTTCATGGGACAATATTTTAAGCGGTATGGCGTTTATTTGCTTATCCCTACATTCTCAAGTAAAACTTAGGACTGCATTTTACATGATCGTAATTCATACCCTAAATAAATCATGACTAAATATATAGGCCTACTCAAAGAACAGTCTTAATAGTTTATGCTTATCATGTGTCAGTCATTGTATTGTAATAATAATAATAATAATAATAATAATAGTAATAATAATAATAATAACTGAAATAATAATTATGACACTGAATAAACTGTAGTCACTTGCAGTCTTGCACACATATTTTTTTTTAAGTTTAAATGACATTATTAAACTAAATCAGCAAAGCTTAACATTGATGATTTATAAACTCAAGTCAATACATGATCCTCAGAAATTCCAAAAATGTATAAATAATAATAATAACAACGACAACAACAAAGACTTTATTTAACGAGATAACTCATTTGAACAACATATGAGCCGCGCCATGACAAAACCAACATAATGGATTTGCGACCAGCATGGATCCAGACCAGCCTGCGCATCCGCGCAGTCTGATCAGGATCCATGCTGTTCGCTTACAAACCCTTTAACAAGTAGAGAAACTGATAGCGAACAGCATGGATCCTGATCAGACTGCGCGGAAGCGCAGGCTGGTCTGGATCCATGCTGGTCGTCAATCCACTATGTTGGTTTTGTCATGACACGGCTCATATCAATCTTCAACGAGGCTCCAACAAGGAACAATATAAATTTAACATATTCAAACTATTAAAATAAATGCTTATGCATACATGAGATAGTCAATATGTATACATCGATGTGTGATACTATCTCAAGTTTAAGGAGGACTTAGCAGACTTGGTATAATCAGGAAGGCCTTTCCAAATACAATATCCAGAATAAACAAAAGACTAACGAAATTGTTCAGTATTCGGTCTAGGTGTGTAAAGACTAAAATCAGATGATGAACGCAAATTGCGAGTATGAACATCTGACTATAAAATGATATTATTCAATAAATAGGAAAGTGTCTGATTATAAACTAGTATTATCTTAAATATATTACACATGCTAATAGCTATTTGAAAAACAACCCTCTACTAAAAAGTCATCCAGCGGAGTTTAGAAAATAGTTCAGCAGATGGAGTGTCATAATCTTCAATGTAAGGAATCTATTCAACTACCTTATGTTAGGTGGATGGTTCTGATCTGGTACCTTGCTCATGGCTGAAATAAAGGCCGGTTGCAACCGATGTTTCCCACACTTTATGCTTGAAAGTCGCTATGCGACCTTTACACTTGCCTTGTTTAGTATGCATTTTAGTAAGAATTACACGCAACATAACTGATCGCGTCTGCCAACTGTATCCATTGTTCTCAAAAGTGCTCAAATTCTTATGCAACCGGATTTTTATGTAAAACTGTGTTCGCCATATCCAAAATACATTTTAAACGTTTGCTGCATATGAAGAGATAGACAATAAACAAAGCAGGAGCACGCTTAACACGCTACATAATGACAATGATATATTTTTATGTTAATTTATTTAATTTCAAATAGGCTAATAAACTCACAAGGACAACATATATCACATGACAGAGTAATGTATGATATTGATAATGATACGTCTCGTTTTCAATCATAAATATATATACAATGAAGTTTTAAAACCTCATTTCAGTAAGAAGACCGTTTCAACGTTTCATTCATATAGGGGTTATATACATGTATATGATGGACCGATCATCGTGTGGAATGAAGTCAGCATTAATATGTTGATTCTATCAAGATTTATACCGACTTGAAAATATCAGCTTTACTTAAGTGAACAAGGAATTAATCCACAACGGATTTATAACGTAATAAAACACTTTTGAAATAAGGTAGGAACTCTTATGATAAATTTAAGCTATGAGGGATTTAAAATGAAAATATGTGATTTATATACTAGGATTAAACTGACTGTCAATGAGTAAGCAATAATTCATTTGCCGAAATGGCGCATTTGCAAACAGAAGGATATGTACTTAGACTGACAAATTGCTACTATTGAGAGAGCATAAGAAACAAAACGTAAGCACAAGTACAATGAATCATCGAGAAAACCCCATTGAATGTGTCATCATTCTTTTAAGATTTACTTGAATAATTTATATTTCAGTTTTATGGGACCTTATAAGTCCGAAATGGAAAGTGAAGATGCGACATAATGTGTAGATTTATAGCGCAAACAAACATAAATCTAAACACTTGAAGAAAATTTGACACGCAGAAAAAAACTGAATATGTTTCATTGTATGCTATATAAACATTGTAGCTGAACCTGTTCTGCATTATCATCTACGATACAATGGCTATCAAATACGTGATATACATAGTTTTGGCTATTTGCATTACATTGGAAATTTCCAGTTCGAGCGGTGATTATACAGTGTTATATCAGTTTTTACATTCAGTTATTTATCTATTTCTTTTGTTGCGTTTAAGAACAGAACATATTTTATTTTTATTTTTTATCTTTTTATCTTGTTTATTTATACATCGTAATACAAAATATAAACAATTGTTCAATATTATACTAATATAAACCACAAGATCGTTTCTGACAGAACAGACATATCCCTTTCAAATTAATATAGAGGATGAATTACTAATATATAAAGTTGTATCTATTATATCTAAAGTATTTCTATGAGACATCACATTTCTTACTCACGGTGTAGAAAGACGACCTTCCGTTAGCCAGCTTGATGGCTTCTTTACATGGACGACTCTTAATTTCGATCAAATTTGATCTGAACACAAAGTTCCGATGGGAAGGTAATTGAAATTAGTGACTCTTTAATAACTATTTCGCAAAGGTCGGAATAATATTCAATTTTTCTAAGATTTTTAAATCATGTTATGATAGAATCTCCTTTGCTTTGCTTTTAGTTTCAAGAGACGTCGTGCTTTTGTTAGACTCATCTGATGATTACAGATCTAAATACTTTGAACTTGAAAAGCAATTTGCAATAGATGTTATCGAAGGAATCTACAACCAAGATACCAGAATTGGCGTTTATACTTTTGGACGAAAATCTCATGCCCAATTCAATTTAGATCTTTACAGTGACATTGATCAAATGCGATATGCAATAAATCACATGTGGTACAGTACCGGCAATGGTAATCTTGAAGATGCCATTGACTATACAATAGATAATGCATTCAACGAGCTGTCAGGCAATCGAGGATGTGTTCCAAACGTACTTGTTATTTTAACCCATAAAGCTGTTACTGATCCTGGGCGGTTAGCGATAATCGATGAGAAGCTTAGACTTAACATCATTCGAGCATTTGTACTGCAGTTTACAAGCAATGCGAGTGCAGATTTCATACCAATTACAGGCGAATCCTCTCGTATTATCAATGTTCAAGGTTTAGCTCATCTTAACAAAGAATCGTCGACGATCATTCAGAAAATTGGTTCAGGTATGTTCATAAGGCAAATAATACAATATACTGTTAGACATTTGAATAGCTTTCACTGTTAGCAATTAAAGAAAAACGTCAGATTATCGCTAGTTTTTTTAAATGGTAAACTTAGCAAATCGTTAGTCAAGTGTATACAAACATAATTAAAGCTAGTATTAAATACTTACTTATCATCATCTAAATCACCTATATTTGCAGAAACAGACCAAACTGAACTTAGTAATTAGGAAGAAAAGATATATCGAAACTTAAATATTTCAATCATACTTTTGTATTAAAATTAAACTATTAGTTTTTTTTACTAATGTTTCCAAACTTTGAACTTTTGAAAACGTGAAGCTTTCAAAATATTGTTGTTTTTTAAATTTTAGTGATTCTAAAACTTTATTACAGAACTGAATATATATATATTTCTTTTTAAACTAGATTTGCCTCGATCAGGCTGTGGACAATTGACCACTTGGACTGCTTGGTCAGATTGCAGTTCAACCTGCAATTTCGGTCAAAAATTTCGAACCAGGGAATGTGTAAAGGATCACGATAATGATACAGACTGTATCGGACTTCTGTCTGACGAAAATACATGTACTGTAACCACATGCTCAGGTATCTTTATATTTAAGAATGTGAATGGCAATTCGAGAATATTTGATTAATCTACTATAATTTTTATAATAAATGTTTAATCGATTTAATGTATGATTATCATAATAAAATAAAATGCATTGTTATTGTCATTTTCTCATAGTTGATGGTGCGTGGAGCTACTGGGGAAGTTGGGCAGGTTGCTCTAAATCATGCGATACGGGAGTTCAAACCCGATTTAGGACATGTACTATGCCTGAACCATACAGTGGCGGAAAGGTTTGCGAAGGTGTTTCGACAGAATCCAGAAATTGCAATGATTGGCCTTGTCCTGGTTAGATAAACTTATCATATCAACGATTATGATCAAAACGTCTTAAGACAAGAAAAATCATAACAAAAACTTAAACATGGCGTCGATGTTTGTCAATCTTTTCGTTATGGTCCATTTTCTTAGAATCAATGAAAAGATTTTCACTTTAAACACTTAGTATACTGTATACTTGTTAATTGTCTTTAAGATTATTTTGTGTTCTAAATTTTTTTTATGGAAAGTTATTCCCCCTTTTCAACTTATATTGTAAGCCATGTTAAACTTTTTTGTTAAAGTCTATTTACTCAGAAACTACAAAAAATATTTATCACTTCAGTCTTTATATACGTGTTTACTATCAAAATATGAACACATTCAAAAAGGTTACATAATCCTTGAAATCTTGCATAGTTTGCCCCCCTTTTTACATCATTTTTCTTCCACGGTCTATATCTCAAAAACTGTCCAAGATAATAACTTCAAACGTGAAATACTGGTTACATTTTTAAATTGGAATGCATTTTTATAGGGCAAATAAACTTGACGTACTTGTTTACAAGGAAATTTGAAATGCATTTGTTAGGGACAGATAATAATGAAAGCCATATTTACTTAATTATTTTCTCTTCTTTTTGTTTTGGCTTAAACTATCAGCCATTTTCTCACAACAATATCAACATCAAACTTGAAATATTTGTAATCTATTAAGGGCGGGTGAGTCTGCAAAGCACATGATTTACAGAAATATTCCCCATTTTCTATGTTGATTTTTTTAAACTATCCAGCACTGAGAAAAGTGGAGAACGCTGTCCACAGACAAGTTTTGCAATTCCTTTGTTTTATTTCTATTATAATGTTATTTAACTGAATTAATAGATCTTTAAGGGTTTGAGCATGTTAGGCAATGCATTTGCTTAAGGTTAATCGATCCAAATGTTAACTTTTCTTCGTCTTCATATGCATAATATACGCAGAGTCAGGAAATACACCTGTAATACAAAATGATACAATGAAAGTAATGAATTATTTTTGCACACTGAACTGTAGAATACTGTAGTTTTCTGTCATTTCAGATTGTTCTAAGACATGTCCTTCGGGGGGACAATTATCATCTGATTGCCAACTTTGTTTGTGTGCTACTATAACACTATTTGGCCGTATAACAGATGATAACAATTCAACTGTAGAAGGCGCAAATATTTATCTCGGGTCCAGGAGAAACGAACCGATTGCTTCAACAGATAGCTTTGGAAAATATCGTGTCGATGGTGTTTGTATCATGAATGAAGATATCATAATTCAAGGAAAACGTTATGTTGAGCTAAGAGTCCTTCCATTCGAAGTAAATGTAACACATTGGAGAATGGACGCTATCATCGAAAAGAAAGGTAAACGTTATCTAGATGCATGTTTCGAAAATAACAAAAAATAAAATAAAAGAAGAACAAAAACTTATTGTTCTCATTAGATTTTTTATAATTTTTATCATTACTTAAAACATAATTATTTAGATAATAAACTAAAAATATTTGCTAAGCTGCGTTGAAAAGTAGCAAAAATTTCACATTTGATCGAAAAAGAAAGTATTCCTAACCATTAAAAAACTTAATGATGACAATCATAACCAAACTGACGCTCCAATACTTTTCGTTTTGTAGCGTTAAGTAACGGGCGAACACGATTTCACGATAAGACATTTTATACTGTTGCTTATATGATAATATATGTACCCTTGTCTTATTTAAAAAAAGTTGTTTGAAACACAAACAGACATATAAATATCTATCAAGACAGTCAAATCATAATTATACTGTGCCTATAGGCGATTGTCTTGGCTGACCTGTCTTGAAACTTTTTCTTCAACATCATTGAATACATTAATTTGTGCTGATGCTAGCAATAACCTACCGATTAGATAATTGCGAATTGCAAGTATTTCCACTACATGTCATTTTGAATTAAATCTATTATTCATGAAACAGAACTGACGTACATGTTTTGAAAGAATTCAAAACAAAAGCAGATATTTATAAGTGTTCAGAATAGCTAATATCATTTGTTTCAAAAATGTTTCATATTCTTTCACTAATTTATGATTATTAAAATAGTATACGTGTTTTTTTTTTAAATCAGTTACACCTGTTTTCAATTTGCAACCAAAGAACAAGATACGTATGGTCGGTCAAAGTTTTAGCCTTTGCTGTTCTGCGATTGGATATCCACCTCCAACTTCTTATATATGGTAGTAAATTCCAACTTATTCTACTTTTTAACCATACGGATTTTAATGATACCCAATTTTACTGCAGAAAGTAAATTATCGTAATTTTCTGTTATTTGCAGGGTACTTTAAATAATCTCTACTAGGATTAAACATTTACTTTGTAATAAAATATATCCTTATAACACCCGTGTACATTGATTGTATAATGGGAGTAAAATACGAATGAATTCACTCTTTCCGGAGTCATATTTCATATGTAATGTACGTTTGATCAGATTTCTCATTCGGACTAAACGATAACATACTTTTGACGCCCACAATAATATCAGTTTTTTAATATTTTCAATATCACAGCAATAAATTGCTACTTCACAATATATAGGTACAAAAATAGAGCGGAATTGCTAAATCAAGGAAAGAGTGGCTCGCTTATTTTCCAGTCAGCATCTAAAGAGGACTCGGCTGTATACAAATGTTCAACAGAAACGGATGCGGGTGTCTCACAATCGTCAGAAGCCATCGTAGAAGTAAAAGGTCTTATACGTTTAAACACAAAATTATATCAAATAGTTTGTTAATAATGACTGATTATACAAGCATATTGTAGAAACACCTGCGGTTGTTTAAATTCAAAATTTTATGTAAGCTCTTTTTGATCAAAAACTAGAAGAATGGGAGGTAGCTTGTACTTACCACGTCTGACCATGAACAGGTTCAAAGAAACTTAGCCTGCGATATTACATTTTATTTAACATTTAGACGAGTTTTAAAATTTCTTTCTTTTTCCTATTTTAGCGAGCTTTATGTTTTATCACGTTAAGACTTTTTTCATTTGACGTGACAGTTGAAAATATTCGATAACAGCATTTTTATTGTAGCTTTTTCGGCTGACACTTGTGGTCCTCCTTCGTCAAAACTGCTACAACTACCAGCCGGATGTTACGTATCAGGTGACAATAGTCAGAACGATACCCTAGATGTTGGTACGTGCGAAAAATCCGCATGCATGCTGTCATCTCTAAGGGATAATGGTACTTGTTCAGACTGGTGGTTTTATCATTGTTGCGATGTAAAAGACATTGAAATGGTTTCGATAACTTGCGACGGTTTCACATACCAAACCTCCCGTGTAACGTCCTGTGAATGTAACTTATGCGTGCATAAAACAACTGTTTACGGTCGCGTTACAGGAAGAGAAAATAAGACATTTATTCCTCTACAGCTTGGAAACATATATGTCGGTAATGTAGAAATCGGAAGAACAAATATGGCCGGATTTTTTAATTTCGAAGCTCCAAGCGATCAAACAAGATTAGTTGTGACATTTCGTGATACGGTTTTTAAAAAATTCTTAGATGTAACAAAGATTATCGAAATTATCGAAGGAAAAGAAAACCACGTTACAATAGTAGCTCCAATCAAACCGGATCCGGTGCAATTTAACTCTAACATAGGAATGGAATTTCAAGTGGGTGCGTCTGATGACGGCTCTCCAGCATTAGGAAGCATTGGAATTCCAGAAAATGCTCTCATTGATCTAAATGGTGAACCGTTTACCGGAACTGCTAATGCAGTTATGTACTTTGTTGATCCGCGTGATAGGAATAGTCTCGATACTGCCAATGGAGAATTTGTTTCCGAAACCGAAGACGGATCATCTTCACCACTTAATACGTACGGTCTTTTTAATTTAGGTGTTTTTGATGGCTCTGGAAATGAGTTGAGAATAAACAAGAAATTAGGGATTTCATTTGACACATCCGTACTAAATGTTACCCTAGATGAAAACGGTGATCCTGATCTTGCAATATGGGACTACGATACAAACAAAGGTGTTTGGGTTGAAAATGCAAAGTTTTACTTTGAACAGGTTGTGAAAAACGGTAGAAAACTTTTATCTAATTATATACATGCAGACATTGATCTAGATAAAATAAAAACAATTGAGATAACGGAGGAAGTAGTTACTGGAGAGGAACGCGTACAGACGGGATGGACTAATTGGTACAGAAATATTGATGAACGAAGGCCAATATTTGATTATGTTCCTATAAAGGATGAGCAGGTAAAACAAGGGGTCTGTTATGTAAGTGTGTCAGTATATGAAGACCTGTCGTTGAAAGAGCCTTATCCAGGCAGTGCAGAAATAACATTATATACAAGAGAACGTGACCTGTCAAAATACCTCGGGAAATCAAATGCACGTGTCATTAATGGCCACGCCTGTATAGTTACATTCTGCGATAAATTAGTGTATTTGAGTGTAAAAGACGGTCAAGATGTTAATTTATATCCAGGACAGCATGTTTTGCCCTTTGGATATCGTGTAACTGAAAGAGATCGTGAGATAAACTTTGAGTCTATCGACCGGGGCGTTTCATACAGATGTCCTGATCCTTCAATGGATTGCAAAGGGCCAATGTATCAGTACAGGGATCATTCTGATTGTAGAAAAGTAACTTCCAAAAGTAAAACACATCAGTTTAAGTTTGCACCTTTTACGAGATCTCCCAGCATGTCATACACGGTTGGTTCTGATAATATTTATGACAAAATGTTGTCATGGTACCCTGTATCACCTGAAACAATCACATTTCGAGCATGTTTCATGAAGGTATTGGTTAAGGTAAATATAAATCATTATTTCATAAAATGTTTGAAAACAAAATTGTCAGCGTTAACAGTTGTATAAAGATGGAACGCCTTGAATCGAGTGTAACAATAGCAATATTGAAATAGCGCATCTTTTAAATTTCACATTTAAACACAATTCCTTACAAGGCTCATAATGAATCAATACTGTAAAAAGTAAAATGAAAATATTACAATTAAAATGTAAATCAAAGTTAAGGAACATAAAATTTAAAACAAAAGTTTTCGGGGCATTTCAGTCTTTTTCCAAATTGTGTAAACAAAATTAATTTATAATATTTTACATATTTATATCTTTTATTGTTTGCCAAAAACTTTTGGAATAAATAATGAACAACTCCAGTTAAGCTAAACCTGTAACATTTTCAATCATGCCGTGCTTGGCAACCTTTAAGAGCTCCATATGATGTTTGTGGCAATTTGATAATTTTTAATTTAATTAACTTCATTTGATTCCTAAAATTTATAAAATGAATAATTCGGTAATGTAATTTGTTTCATATTGTTTATTAAATAGATCAAGGGAGCATATGATCTTCGTTTGTTAGCCAAAAGTTTGTTACATACGTTTGATGGACAGGAGTTCGGAACACATGATGTTGGTCCAATCACTTCACCAAACGCTAGAAATGATGAAATAAGAGCAGCATGTTTTGAATTTAGATGCCCTGGATTTATTAGAAATGGCAGTCAAGAGATTTTTGATTTGTCGACAGCGATCGAAGTCCATTTAACTACAAAGGAACAAAAGAAATGTTCATTTCGGTATGTTGTTTCTTATCTGTTTTTTTTTTAAATGAAAATAATGAAAATATTAAATTATGTCAGGTTAATCAGAAGAAATATTTGACATATTTGATATTTGACATGCTTAATAATTGTTAGACGTTTTGTTATAGCAAGTCAGCTATAAGTTAAATTCATATAGGTAATGAAAGGGATACTGGATACTAATTATTTAAAAATATTGTAGTGACAGGATCGTCTAATTTTATGATGTATTGGTGTGTGTTTTTGTTTTGGTCTAATTTTTACTTTTTCCTAAAAAATCGTCTTTGCAGGGGTTTAAACAGTAACTTGCAAGGTTTCACTCCAATAAGAAATAGTAAAGGAGACATGGGATTTCGATTCACTGCAGCGCCTGGAAACAACTTTGGTCCATTTTATGGGATATATGTTTATGACAAGTCCTCTGGTGATGTTGAGAAAATTTGTAATTCTGGAACAGATTCCGGCGTGCTTTTGTCAGGATTAATGGACCCAGAAAGAAATGCAGCTGTTGAATTCGACTGTCTATAATTTTGCTATAACTTCGATGTTTGTGTCCTTTAAATCGGGCTTAACAAAGACATTTCTTGATTAAGCTTTTAAAAGAATGTGTGTGTTTTTATTCAATATGATGTGTTTGATAATAATTTGATGCTGAAAGTTGTTTTTTGATTACACAATTCAAAAACAGTATTGATGATCATTTCATGTGACTTAACATTGCAAGTATGATTAATTTAGTTTGATATTGAAAATTATTTTAGTGTACTTCAAATCCCATATGATGGTGTGTATCAGTATATATTAATCAGATGGAATAAACATGAATATATTTAGCCAATTTGACTTATATTTGAACTATATTTATAATCTGACTTGTAGTTTTAAATAATATTGCTTACAAAATGAATAATTCCAAGACTGCTATCTCAGCGTAAACCTATACTAAGGTGTTATTATTATAAATGAAAATATTCTGTAAAAAGTGATATGTTACATTTAAGGTTAATTATGCTGCAAAAACATATATAATGGCTTTCAGGGTGCAACAGTTGCACTTAATAAGACAGAACAGCAGGAAATATAGAGTTTAAACGACCAACAGTGAGAAAAAAAGTAGTACGTGTAATTTCAAACAAGAAACATTCATAAAAAATACTGTTATTCGTACACAGTATTTCTCTAAATGTGACTAAAATTCAAAATATTAATTTCTACATGAAAAGAAATATTGCATAGTGACGTGTCCTATTTGATTGAACAAAGTAGGATTGCAGATTTAACTAATGCCTTATGTCGCCATTTTGAATTTAATCGATAAAGTAGCGATATTAAACATTCTGGCGGGGAAAAACTATGGCGGCATATAACTTCAAATCGTAGGTCGAATGTCTAAGTTTGACACTCAGAAGAATAAAATGTTTAATATAATCAAACATCGATTGCATGTAAGGGGAAACTTTATCAGTCGCAACACGGCACAAACAACACAGAAGTAGTGACGGCTGTAAAAAGTTCATACTTTCATCCTCAAGGGATTGGGCGTTCAGTGTTGGTGTCCCCCTCCGTGTCCAGTCTTCATACATACTGTTTTGGTGACACTTTTGTTTGTGTCCCTTGTTGTTTTCTCGTCTACGGTAAGTATATTCCCTTTTGCCCCTAGTTTTACCTTTTTACCCCCCCCCCCCTTCCCCGAATCTCCTTTCCCCTTTCTTCTGTGCCCCTTTACTTTGTGGGCCTATTAATCAATCATTTATTTCTTTTCTTTTATTTCCGTATCAGTTACTATTAATTATTTTAACAGTCATTTTAGTGATTAGCATGTCCGTGCTCTGCCTTGCGACCTGTCCTGTTTTTGTTTGCGGTCACCCTGGGCGTCTTGCCACTGGTTCTTGTTGCTAGGTCATGTGGGGGATGCGTTCACTGAACGCCGCCTTTTACTGTTGACCTTGCTTATCATATTGTGTCACGTCGGCGTTTGGTTCTTGGGTGTTTTGAGCACTCACCAGCATGCACTGGTGGCAATTCATCTACTTCAAGTATGAACAACTGCAAAACAAATTGTAACACAAAGACCAACTTTTAAAAAAATGTAAATTTTCAACAATATGTTTTTATAAAGCTTATTAAACATATTTATCACCGAAAACACCTTTTCCATCGCAGTTATTTCATGCATGGTTCGGCAACAGTTCAAAATGTCATTCCTGAATCCTGATACAGAGGGACAACAGTTTACTGTTCCACAAACACCCATAAAATAATTATTTATAACCTAATACTTTGCAATCAAACTACAATATAAATTGCATCAACATAGTTCTTAATAACATTTACAACTGTTTTAAATGTTCACAAATGAATCCTTCAGACGAACAAATACCGTACATTTAGCTGACCGAGAAGTGGCGGATGGCGTTAACGGAAATACCTGATGACTTCGACAGGGGTGTAACAGTTAAAAATGTTGACCGGTCAACAGTTCATATCATCATTGCGCATGCACATGATTTCAGCAGTTTAATTAAACAGTTGTAAATAAGGAATAAGTATTTATAGAGAGCATTAGGTAATAATATATTTTGTTGTGGTTAAATCAGCAAAAATACTTAAGATAGTAACATTGCCAATTAAAAATATTTCCAGATTCTAACAATAGCCAAAAATTAGCCGATTTCCAAAATGGTAACACACATACACGACTGGCCCTATCAATGTTTATTTTTCGTAGCACACTACAAATCAAATGATTCTCAGTCGGGTTTCTAAACAAGCTCTATGTAAATGAATCAACTCCTAAACGTTGGAAACTACATTGTATGTATTATGACTTGATGCAAATTAGTAAATGTCCATGTTCCCATCTACTTATAAAAATATTCCATACATTGTCATTCATTTGAATTTCCCTCATCATCCACATATATATCTTTAAACAAATAATAGGCTGTTTCAAGTGCCTTAGAATTCATTTAATCTTGAAATCAATGAAATTTTGCAAGCAAAATGAAGAAATCGTGATTGCAATACTTTGCAACTCTGTTTTGATATAATAAATATATAATTTATTAGCTATGCAGAGCAAACAGTCTGACAATTTGATAAACACTTGATATTACTCGAAGTTTAAGTATAAATTCTGGGTTCTCTCCAGTTACAAGACTCCTTTGATTCTGCTACAAATCAAATCACACATTGTGTGATTTCCCATTTAAAGTTTTTACTTCAAAACTATAAAACGCAGTACTGCTGGTATCACTACACACTTTTTTGACAAATTCTAATTCTGTACCTAAATTTCATTAATAGTAAACTAAATATTACATCGGACATCAGAAATTATTTTAAAGGATCTACATTGAAGTCAAGAAGCGTAAAAGCCTAAAAACATAAAGTTTGAACATCTTATATAGATCAAGTGAAGCACATAAAATGGAGAGAGAAAAAATACACATTTCAAAACAATTCCTATAATTCCCTTTAATGCACCGCAAGTTATTTACCTATCAATTCTTTACATTATTTGCAATAAGTATAAAACTATTTAATTAAGTTTCATTTACTGTCGTCTCTACTGAGTATATTTTGAACTTCATAATTATTCTTGTTTGTTCACTACAGCCAGTACGCAAAAAATGTCATCGCATAGTTCAAACTAAACTTATATTATGAATATACATTCACATTATAGAATCTATGAGACTTTGTCCTGTCATACAGTATATCTTTCTTTTCCAAGGTCATACCGTAAGAAAAATTGCTTTAAAGACATGATCACCTTTTCACCTGACCAGCGATAAGACTGTTGAGTGTTAAAATTATAAGACAGAAATAAACTTCGTAACACACCTCCAAATAATGTTTGCCCAAGTAGTTATATATTTGCAAATGGTTGTACTTTTTGATGGTAAGATAACATTTAATTGTTTGTCTTTATGAAATAAGTTGTGTAAATTTAAGTTATTTTTGGTGAAAATGATGCTTGACTCTGCATTTAAGTAATAATAACACTCAAACAGACATCAAAATACTGTGAAATTACAATAAATTGACCTTTAATGTACTCCAAAATCCTTACAGTGTAATGTAGTTTAATGTAGCGAAGCAAGGGAGGACCACTCCGTAGGAGTTTGGACGTACTCTTTCAAGAGAAAATGCAAGAATGTTGATCCATTATTTAGTGATTGTTTAAAACATTTAGTTAGTGATATAAACTCAGTTGTGTGAGATATAAAGTTTATTCAACGTTTCTATTTTTAAGTTAACGATTAATAGTTATTGCTAGGTAAATGTCTGTAATTTGTTATATAAAGGGTGTTCACAGTATTGATCCGATGTACGTGATGGTGTTGCAGCATTTTAAAACAAAAACCCTTACTTCTATATGCCTTCATTACTTATTTATTTTACTAGTTTACAGAGTGTATCCAAATCAAAGAACATGATTGCCTTGATATTTAACTAATTTAAAATTATCTCGAAGATGAAATATTTACAGAAAGCAACAGCAATAGAATAGTGAAGTGCAAATAGCAGACTTGGTTCCATCATGAAAATAGTTATTAAACTACATGTTTATTCTAGTTATATTTATTTACTTTTACTTTTAGGTGTTTCAGCAGCCATCAATCCACTCTATAGGCAACAACGGGAAACGAGGAATTTCACAATAGGAATTGAAGAAGTTTCTGTCAAAAAGATCATACCAATTGAAAACGATTATGACCAATGCTACATCCATATAACTGTTCATAACTCTTCCTCATTTCGATACGGCCTCCAAGGTGCTGTGGTAACAGTTGTGTCAAGGAGACAAGATTCAGTTGACAACTTCAACTACACCGGATATTCAACTGGTCTGACCGATTCTAATGGCCGGGCCTGTATATTAGTCCATTGTCGAGCAGAAGCAGTGATCTTTGTTGAGAAAAATAATATTAGAGTATTTGCCCTTAACGAAACACTGCAAAAGTCACGGTTGCCAATGTACTTTGCCTTTGATTTGAAATTCAACAATGAATTTATTTTTACTTATACATATCCGTGGGGAATAGTCGATGGACGCAATGGGCCTGTGTTTTACTCAAATGAAAAGAACGAATGCATCAATACACATTCTAATAATTACCACTTTGTGTTCTCCTACTTATCTATTCCGGATTTCCTTAACGACACAGTTGCTCCTATCACCTCAAATGACTTCTTCAATGGACATGTATGGTACTATGGAACAGAGAACGACAGGAAAACATGTTATCTGAAAGTGAAGACAAAGGTAAATTATAGAGTAAAGGCGAAATACACTTTGAATCTTTCATTCTCCCTTCATGGGTTTACACAACTGTCTTAAATCATATTGTGTAGATAAATTATAGCTGAAATTGACAATTATGACAATGAACATAATATCTAAAGTGAATAAAGCTTTAAAGTTATTTTTTCTAATTCCATGATACATGGATGAAAGAAATATATTTGTATATTTTCTGAGGAATGGCGCATACACGACATCATTGCTAAGCGATTAAAATCCTAGTTAAAATAGCAACATATTACTTTGTTCCGGAACATTTTATTCTGTTTATGTACAATATTCACATGTGTTAAATAACACAGACAGTCTGAGTCACAATTCTTTCGAGAGTCATCCATATGATTATGAAAACAACATAATTTCACTGTTTATAAATTTCATAGAAATATTTTATAAGATATAGCTTGATACCGTTTAAATTTTATTGTCGTGTATTTACCGCTATAGTTTCTTAAACAAGGTTTGGAGCATCTTCTTCAGAACTAATAGGTTTAATATGCAGTTTGTATTTCAATTTGCAGACATTTTCATCCGCTTTGAGTATAGTCACATCAAGTTATTTGAACACAGAAAATGGACAACGCCTGGGGACGTTCTATACAGGTCCGCAATACGACATCAACAAAGCTGAAACTAGTGAACGGGCTGCATGTATTGAATTCCGATGTCCTGCTGTATTTTATATTAATTTCACAGACATGGACACATTTATCAGAGGTGAAATTAAAAGCGGTCCGCAAAATGGATGCTGTTTAAGGTACAGAGGCATTTTCATTTTTTTATCATGGGATCATATAATGAATGTAATCTATAAAAAAAAAGTTAAGACATCATTAGATTTCAACACTTTGTTTTCTAATAACTTGAAAGCAACGCCAGCGTTACGATAATTTGTGCAAACAGTGAAATGTAAAGAGAACCGTTTTACACAGTAGGGACAGCATCGGGTTTGTAATCCAGGGGTCCTTAGGCAAGGCGATCTTTCTCTGTGTTCATTGAACTCAGTCAGTGGAGAAGTCATCAGACCTCTTATCATGACAGATTTATAATAACTAATTAATTATCCAGAGAGGTTGTTAGGTGGACTTTTCTCCTTTCTCACGAGGAATTCAATCCTTCAAAATATCATTGTTGTTACTTTTTTATTTTGAAGGTCACAGAACACAAACTTGTTTCAAACTACACCATTTGGGTTTTCCTCTGCTATCCCGTTAAACCCTCATCAAAGCTATGGTCCTAATGAAGGAATCTATATGTCGGTTGACAGCCGAAGTGCAAGGGCAAGATGCTTTACTGGACACGACTTCCTTGGCTCCGAATACGTGATGGACATTAACAAAGGTTTTGCCTTTGAGTATGATTGTATCCCAAATGCAATTTGCGAACCATTACATGTCCTCGGAAAATAAAACCAGAGATTTTGAGTGCATTTTTTTTTCTTCTCAGAAATTGTCAAGCAAAATGTTCTTGTGTTGTGAAAGTATTACACGTTTGCGGCAACTCATCCTATAACAATTTACAATTTACAATGTACTCTTCAGAAAGCATCAAAAAATGATACTCGATGGAAGTGGGTCAGCTCAAATTGACAGGGTAACTATATGTATCACAAAACAGCGCCGTTTCTATACATTATGAACGAATCTCATGCAGCCCTCGACTTCGTTTCTTTCACTGTCTGTTGACTGACTTATCCATCTGAATAATTTTAGAAGGTCTGAAGTAATGAGTACTATTTCTGAACAGGTTAGTTAACACAAGAAACAAGGGATGTCTTGTGGAAAAAAATGTTCTTACTCGTACAATGTGGTTATACATATTGATCAATTATTCATAATTACTGTTACTAACTGTTCTGCTTATGACTCTACCATTAGTGCTAAATTTCAGATAATTACAATATGATGACCAAAATCATCATGTATTCGCTATGTTTACAAAGATAAAATTTCCAATACTAACTTTATTATACCTGTAAATAAGAACGAAATATAAATAAACATTATCAATCAACAATATAATTACAAATGATACCTTAAAATGGAAAGTCAATACTGTAATTAAAGCATTTTTAATGTCCGTACACAAAAATCGAAGGTGAATTATTGCTAGTATTTTTGTTTTAATTAACGACAGCAATTATGCTCGTTTGCATTTCCAAAGACGCACTTTGGCCGCCTTTTATTTCATTACGAATTAGTCACAATCGATCAGACGTTCTCGTTTGCTTTTAAATTCATTACCTAGCTGTCGGAACCGGAAGTGATTTGCAAGATCTAGGCCGATAGAAACACTTCAGAGATTATTCGTAATCATTATCCGAAGATTGACGTAAAAGGCTGAGAAGTTGCGATTGGTGCAAGGCAAGCCTAGCTCAGTTTTTGGTATTTTGATATTAAAATTCCTTTTACTTTAAATGGACTGTTCCAAAGTCAACCAGGATAAATCCTTTTCACAAATTTAGCAGGTTAAATGTGAACGTAGAAATTTCAACATTAAAAGTGTTGGTAACAATACTGACATGCGTTTTGTACAGAAAAGTATCTGAGTATTTAAGTTAATTTTAAGCATATACTTCTGATTAGAGGCCTCCAAGTCGTACGTATACACCAACACAATTCCCCCGAGTAATTTCGTGAGAAAGTAACACAACTCCTACAACTTTTGTAAACTTTGTCTATGTGTGATTTAGAAGAAAAAATGACTGTCTCGAAATATACAATGATTGATTTTTATTTAGGTTAAAACACACATATACACAATAAATACACTAACATATGTTTATAATAAAAGTAAATAGATAAAATTGTGTAAAAGTACTTTAGGTAGTTTGTCACAAAAAACTATATCGTAAGAAGTTCATTTTATGTCACTGGAAGTTCATTTGAAAGCACCACTTTTACAACTTAAACAAAACCAAAGGTGTAACAGGTTACTTTGTAATCAAATGCATGTACAGAGTAGGCGCCGCCTAGTTTGTAATAACCTCGAATTGGCCAATGGGGCCCTTGGACATTAATGTATACTTACTAGAATCTGGAGCTTGTATATTTTTAGTCCTAGCTAGAATATACAATGCAATTAAACTTAAACAAACATAAATAATAACAAACAAAATTTGAATGAAGATATTAGTATACTGAAATAATTATATGCCTATTGAATGATTAATTTGAAATTCATATACAATATATGTCAATCTACATACATTTAACTGTAAACTTTAGTTAAACTTTAAGGACAATTTAACGAAACCAGACATTTTTGTTTAAACTTTGCATGATTAAACAGAATGACAGCTGAAACAAACTTATGAAAAAAATAAGGGTCATCCATCATTCTTGTAGTTAACTGTCCCTGAAAGTGTTTTTTTTTTTTGCTTTTAGTCATTTTCAAAGGGAGGTAAATCGAAATGCGATTTCGATACATTATTTAACTTTAAGATAGTTTATTGCTATTTCATCTTCAGTCATTTTGAAAAGATTAAAACAAACAAATCAGCCATGTAACTATATATGCTTCATTAGGTAAATATACCATATGGGCATAACGGCAAGAAAATTCATATCACTCCGAAAAGGGAACAGAAATAAAGATTATAAGTATGCGAAGAGGTGATGTATGTATCCGTCATCTAATATATTACACAGTTGTTATGCCGAGTGGTAGAAGAGAAGAGTTCGCTAACCTTCTTGTCAAGGATCACGCATTTCAATCGTTCAAGACCAGTAACAGTACTGCTATAATTTCAAACATGTATATACCTTTCGTTAATCTAAAACATTTTTAAAATGCCTCAAGTTCAACACATTGAAACTACAAGGTAAACAGTTGAAACAGAAACGGGACAATTTATTTCACCGATGTTATACGTAGCCGATCGAGCATCGCATAACCAAATATCAAAATCAGTTTTTTTCGACATACCATTGTAAAATTACTGTCCATTTGTTTGATTTCAATATTTTTTATTTAAAAACAATGCTTTTCATTTCCATTTAATCTACAAAGGGGCAGAACTTTTGGACCAAAGAAATAACTTTTTATCAAGGAATATTTTTTTTATCTCGTCCATCTCTAGGAGATATATACCTCCGCACTAACTTCCATGGGGTAAATTTTTCTCATCAAATATTGCAAAATATGAGACTTCATTACATTTTGATCAAGTGCACCGTTTTCGGGAATTATGCCTTCAAATTCGATGTGAGTTTCTTCCCCTATATGGACGATTATCATCAAAGCAAAGAACTGGTATCTTTATAACTGGATTGCAAAAATCATATACGGCTCTTGCAGATACCCCATTGTGCCACTTAATGCATATAGCATATCTTTTCATGATTTAAGAAATTGCCCTTGTGCAGAAAAAAAACAAGAACAAAAAACAACTCTTATAAATCTTCTATAGAATAGCGCACTAAAAGGTTGGCAACACTGTGCCATCTCTTTCACATCTGTAAAAAATTTGTAAGAAAAACAGACAGTGAAGTATTTTGTTATGCTGAAAAAGTTCCTGAAGTAGTATATAATATTGCTGAACATCTTTTTCAATGCTGGACAACTGGTCCATTACAAATGATTTGGTTTGTTGTTTTAGATAATACAATGTGCACTGTGCTTATATATCATTTCTTAAGATTAGTGTCCTGTTGGTCTATTAACTGCAGTTTTAAATACATTGTATGCAGTACAATCACATGTAATTGATACATACATTCAAAACAATCCTTAAGGCGTCGAAATTGGTCGCCCGAGGACATAAATTATTAAAATCTGCATTAAATTCAACTGTGCAATGGAAATCACGATTTATTCCGTTTCATAAAAAAATCTTTGCACATTTTTGTCATTAAATACATCAATGGCCTAATAAAAATTACAGCCTCCGGCTTTTAGCCATGACATTGTGGTACGTGTTTTGAACGGATTTTAGCATACCTAACTAGAGGTGTTCCGAATGAAAACGGATATGGCGGTTAATATTTCGGGAACTGTTTTAGCTTCCCTTTACTATGACAATTCGTCGAGTATCGGAGATCAGGTATCATATGTGCACTTTAGAATATAAATCAACAAATATTCCAACACAATCGTGAAAATGATTGTATGGAAAATATTAGTTTCAATGAATTTTGAAGATTTTATTTAGGCACTTTTTCAGCGGGTTTCCTTTTTAAAGATAAAATTAAAACTAAATTGTGTCATGATTAAGAAGTTAAAGAACACTGAACTCATTTTTAGATGAAAAGATCTGTAAGCGGTCGGTTTAGAGTTTCAGGACTTTTTCCCTTTTATAACAGGGCTTTTTGCCTTCTCCCCTAGTCCAGCAGGGACATCATCCCTGGATTTAGGGTCCTACTAAACACTGCTAAGCAGGGTTGTCATTAACATTTTTTGCAGAAGGTTTGTTTTGAACTTGAGACGGTCATTTCTGTCTTTATCGTGCATAACAAAGAGTGTTTTCTTAATTTTGAGGCGGCCCATAATGCATTTGAGACAGGCATTTTGGCCTCCTGCCGCCTCTTAATGACAACCCTGGCTAAGGACTGCTAAGGACTGCTAAGGACCGCTAAGGACTGCTAAGGAGCCACAAAGGACTACTAAAGAGGCACAAAGGACCTTAAAATACCTCCTAGGCCATTCTTACATTACATGGTATTATTTTTAGTGAAAAAAAAATATAATTTTAAGAAAAAATATGATTTTGGTGAAAATTTTATGAGTTGTCGGACCGCTAAGGACTGCTCAGATACACAAAAGACTGCTAAGGAGGCACAAAGGACCTTAAAATACCTCCTAGGGCATTCTTATAATCCAAGGTAGTATGTTTAGTGACAAAAAATGTATTATTTTAAGAAAAAATATCATTTTAGTGATAAAATTTATGTTTTTGAAGAGTTGTCGGACCGCTAAGGACTGCTCAGGTGCACTAACAACTGCTAAGGAGGCACAAAGGACCTTAAATTACTTCCTAGGGCATTTTTATATTATATAGTAGTAAGTTAATAGATAAAAAATGTATTTTTGTAAGAAAAAAATATAATTTTGGTGATAGAATTTATGTTTTTGATGAGTTGCGGACCCCTAAGGACTGCTCAGGTGCGAAAAGGACTGCTAGGGACCTTAAAATATTTCCTAAGGAGGCACAAATGACCTTAAAATACCTGTAAGGGCATTCTTATAATACATGGTAGTATGTTTAGTGATAAAAATGTATAATTTTAAGGATAAATATCATTATAGTGATAAAATTTATGTTTTTGAAGAGTTGTCGGACCGTTAAGGAATGCTCAGGTGCACTAACAACTGCTAGGGAGGCACAAAGGACCTTCAAATCCCTCCTAGAACATTTTTATCATATATGGTAGTAAGTGAATAGACAAAAATGTATTATTGTAAGAAAAAAATATAATTTTGGTGATAGAATTTATGCTTTCGATGAGTTGCCGGACCGCTAAGGACTGCTCAGGTGCGTAAAGGACTGTTAGGCAGGCACAAAGACCTATAAATATTTCCGAGGGAGGCACAGAGGACCTTAAAATAACTGTTGGGGCATTCTTATAATTCATGGTAGTATGTTTAGTGACAAAAAATGTATAATTTTAAGAAAAAATATCATTATAGTGATAAAATTCATGTTTTTGAAGAGTTGCCCGACCGCTAAGGACTGCTCAGGTGCACTAACAACTGCTAGGGAGGCACAAAGGACCTTCAAATCCCTCCTAGAACATTCTTATAATATATGGTAGTAAGTTAATAGACAAAAGTGTATTATTGTAAGAAAAAAATATAATTTTGGTGATAGAATTTATGCTTTCGATGAGTTGCAGGACCGCTAAGGACTGCTCAGGTGCGAAAAGGACTGCTAGGCAGGCACAAAGACCTATAAATATTTCCTAGGGAGGCACAAAGGACCTTAAAATAACTGTTGGGGCATTCTTATAATTCATGGTAGTATGTTTAGTGACAAAAAATGTATAATTTTATGAAAAAATATCATTATAGTGATAAAATTCATGTTTTTGAAGCGTTGTCGGACCGCTAAGGACGGCTCAGATACACAAAAGACTGCTAAGGAGGCACAAAGGACCTTAAAATACCTCCTAGGGCATTCTTATAATACAAGGTAGTATGCTTAGTGACAAAAATGTATTATTGTAAGAAAAAAATATAATTTTGGTATGCTTTCGATGAGTTGCTGGACCGCTAGCGGCTGCTCAGGTGCGAAAAGGACTGCTAGGCAGGCACAAAGACCTATAAATATTTTCCTAGGAGGCACAGAGGACCTTAAAATAACTGTTAGGGCATTCTTATAATTCATGGTAGTATGTTTAGTGACAAAAAATGTATAATTGTAAGAAAAAATATCATTATAGTGATAAAATTCATGTTTTTGAAGAGTTGCCCGACCGCTAAGGACTGCTCAGATGCACTCACAACTGCTAGGGAGGCACAAAGGACCTTCAAATCCCTCCTAGAACATTCTTATAATATATGGTAGTAAGTTAATAGACAAAAGTGTATTATTGTAAGAAAAAAATATAATTTTGGTGATAGAATTTATGCTTTCGATGAGTTGCAGGACCGCTAAGGACTGCTCAGGTGCGAAAAGGACTGCTAGGCAGGCACAAAGACCTATAAATATTTCCTAGGGAGGCACAAAGGACCTTAAAATAACTGTTGGGGCATTTTTATAATTCATGGTAGTATGTTTAGTGACAAAAAATGTATAATTTTATGAAAAAATATCATTATAGTGATAAAATTCATGTTTTTGAAGCGTTGTCGGACCGCTAAGGACTGCTCAGATACACAAAAGACTGCTAAGGAGGCACAAAGGACCTTAAAATACCTCCTAGGGCATTCTTATAATACAAGGTAGTATGCTTAGTGACAAAAATGTATTATTGTAAGAAAAAAATATAATTTTGGTATGCTTTCGATGAGTTGCTGGACCGCTAGCGGCTGCTCAGGTGCGAAAAGGACTGCTAGGCAGGCACAAAGACCTATAAATATTTCCTAGGGAGGCACAGAGGACCTTAAAATAACTGTTGGGGCATTCTTATAATTCATGGTAGTATGTTTAGTGACAAAAAATGTATAATTGTAAGAAAAAATATCATTATAGTGATAAAATTCATGTTTTTGAAGAGTTGCCCGACCGCTAAGGACTGCTCAGATGCACTCACAACTGCTAGGGAGGCACAAAGGACCTTCAAATCCCTCCTAGAACATTCTTATAATATATGGTAGTAAGTTAATAGACAAAAGTGTATTATTGTAAGAAAAAAAATATAATTTTGGTGATAGAATTTATGCTTTCGATGAGTTGCAGGACCGCTAAGGACTGCTCAGGTGCGAAAAGGACTGCTAGGCAGGCACAAAGACCTATAAATATTTCCTAGGGAGGCACAAAGGACCTTAAAATAACTGTTGGGGCATTCTTATAATTCATGGTAGTATGTTTAGTGACAAAAAATGTATAATTTTATGAAAAAATATCATTATAGTGATAAAATTCATGTTTTTGAAGCGTTGTCGGACCGCTAAGGACTGCTCAGATACACAAAAGACTGCTAAGGAGGCACAAAGGACCTTAAAATACCTCCTAGGGCATTCTTATAATACAAGGTAGTATGTTTAGTGACAAAAATGTATTATTTTATGAAAAAATATCATTATAGTGATAAAATTCATGTTTTTGAAGAGTTGTCGGACCGCTAAGGAATGCTCAGATGCACTAACAACTGCTAGGGAGGCACAAAGGACCTTCAAATCCCTCCTAGAACATTCTTATAATATATGGTAGTAAGTTAATAGACAAAAATGTATTATTGTAAGAAAAAAATATAATTTTGGTGATAGAATTTATGCTTTCGATGAGTTGCAGGACCGCTAAGGACTGCTCAGGTGCGAAAAGGACTGCTAGGCAGGCACAAAGACCTATAAATATTTCCTAGGGAGGCACAAAGGACCTTAAAATAACTGTTGGGGCATTCTTATAATTCATGGTAGTATGTTTAGTGACAAAAAATGTATAATTTTATGAAAAAATATCATTATAGTGATAAAATTCATGTTTTTGAAGCGTTGTCGGACCGCTAAGGACTGCTCAGATACACAAAAGACTGCTAAGGAGGCACAAAGGACCTTAAAATACCTCCTAGGGCATTCTTATAATACAAGGTAGTATGTTTAGTGACAAAAATGTATTATTTTATGAAAAAATATCATTATAGTGATAAAATTCATGTTTTTGAAGAGTTGTCGGACCGCTAAGGAATGCTCAGATGCACTAACAACTGCTAGGGAGGCACAAAGGACCTTCAAATCCCTCCTAGAACATTCTTATAATATATGGTAGTAAGTTAATAGACAAAAGTGTATTATTGTAAGAAAAAAATATAATTTTGGTGATAGAATTTATGCTTTCGATGAGTTGCAGGACCGCTAAGGACTGCTAGGCAGGCACAAAGACCTATAAATATTTCCTAGGGAGGCACAAAGGACCTTAAAATAACTGTTGGGGCATTTTTATAATTCATGGTAGTATGTTTAGTGACAAAAAATGTATAATTTTATGAAAAAATATCATTATAGTGATAAAATTCATGTTTTTGAAGCGTTGTCGGACCGCTAAGGACTGCTCAGATACACAAAAGACTGCTAAGGAGGCACAAAGGACCTTAAAATACCTCTTAGGGCATTCTTATAATACAAGGCAGGGTTCGACACTAACTGTTTTTACCAGGGATCCCATAGGAATCCCTGAGATTTAATTCAGGGATTCCTCCTAAATGTCAGGGATTCCTCAGATCAAAATAGTAAAATATGAAGGCGAAGAATAGCAAGGGAGTGCAGCAATTCGATTTCAAATTCTTTTTATTTTTGAGACTACATACAGGATATATTGTCTTGTTGCAGATGCAAAAATGAAGTTTATGAGCCCTTTGGAAATATTGCTGTTTAAATATTTAAGCGTTTCAAAGTGTTAACTTTACCAGTATATATATATTTGGACTGCTAAGAAAAAATTAAAAC